GTTCAGGATCCTGACACAAGGAAGAAAGGAGAGCAGCAGAATACGGACCCTGGACTTACAAAAAATCAGACTTTGACTCCCTCAGAGAACTGATGGGCAGGATCACCTGGGAGAATAACATGAGGGGGAAAGGAGTCCAGGAGAGCTGGCTGTATTTTAAAGAATCCTTATTGAGCTTGCAGGAACAAACCATCCCGATGTGTAGAAAGAATAGTAAATATGGCAGGTGACCAGCTTGGCTTAACAGTGAAATCCTTGCTGATCTTAAACACAAAAAAGAAGCTTACAAGAAGTGGAAGATTGGACAAATGACCAGGGAGGAGTATAAAAATATTGCTCAGGCATGCAGGAGTGAAATCAGGAAGGCTAAATCACACTTGGAGTTGTAGCTAGCAAGAGATGTTAAGAGTAACAGGAAGGGTTTCTTCAGGTATGTTAGCAACAAGAAGAAAGTCAAGGAAAGTGTGGGCCCCTTAGTGAATGAGGGAGGCAACCTAGTGACAGAGGATGTGGAAAAAGCTCATGTACTCAATGCTTTTTTTGCCCCTATCTTCACGAACAAGGTCAGCTCCCAGACTACAGCAATGGGCAGCACACCATGGGGAGGAGGTGACCAGCCCTCTGTGGAGAAAGAAGTGGTTCAGGACTATTTAGAAAAGCTGGATGAGCACAAGTCCATGGGGCTGGATGCGCTGCATCCGAAGGTGCTAAAGGAGTTAGCGGATGTGATTGCAGAGCCATTGGCCATTATTTTTGAAAACTCATGGCGATCGGGGGAGGTCCCGGATGACTGGAAAAAGGCTAATGAAGCGCCCATCTTTACAAAAGGGAAGGAGAAGGATCTGGGGAACTACAGGCCAGTCAGCCTCACCTCAGTCCCTGGAAAAATCATGGAGCAGGTTCTCAAGGAATCAATTTTGAAGCACTTAGAAGAGAGGAAAGTGATGAGGAACAGTCAGCATGGATTCACCAAGGGCAAGTCATGCCTGACTAACCTAATTGCCTTCTATGATGAGATAACTGGCTCTGTGGATGAGGGGAAAGCAGTGGATGTGTTATTCCTTGACTTTAGCAAAGCATTTGATACGGTCTCCCACAGTATTCTTGCCAGCAAGTTAAAGAAGTATGGGCTAGATGAATGGACTATAAGGTGGATAGAAAGCTGGCTGGATTGTCGGGCTCAATGGGTAGTGATCAATGGCTCCATGTCTAGTTGGCAGCCAGCATTTTGGGCTGTATAGGTAGGGGCATTGCCAGCAGATCAAGAGAAGTGATCATTCCCCTCTATTCAACATTGTTGAGGCCTCATCTGGAGTACTGTGTCCAGTTTTGGGCCCCACACTACAAGAAGGATGTGGAAAAACTGGAAAGAGTCCAGCGGAGGGCAACAAAAATGATTAGGGGGCTGGAGCACATGACTTATGAGAAGAGGCTGAAGGAACTGGGATTGTTTAGTCTGCAGAAGAGAAGAATGAGGGGGGATTTGATAGCTGCTTTCAACTACCTGGACAATCCTTACGTAAAAGGATAAATGGACACAAGTCAGATATTAGGAATGGCAATATACAAAAACCTATAAATAAATAGAGATATCCTATCTCCTAGAACTGGAAGGGACCTTGAAAGGTCATTGAGTCCAGCCCCCTGCCCTCACTAGCAGGACCAAGTACTGATTTTGCCCCAGATCCCTAGGTGGCCCCCTCAAGGATTGAACTCACAACCCTAGGTTTAGCAGGCCAATGCTCAAACCACTGAGCTATCCCTCCCCCCTATAGGAGAACACTTCAATCTCCTGGACACACAACAGCAGATTTAAAGGTAGCCATCCTGCAGCAAAAACACTTCAGGTCCAGACTTCAAAGAGAAACTGCTGAGCTTCAGTTCATTTGGAAATTTGACACCGTCAGTTCAGTATTAAACAAAGACTGTGAATGGCTAGCCAACTACAAAAGCAGTTTCTCCTCCCTTGGTGTTCACACCTCAACTGCTAGAAGAGGGCCTCATCATCTCTGATTGAACTAACCTCGTATCTCTAGACTGATTCTTGCCTGCATATTTATACCCGCCTCTGGAAATTTCCACTACATGCATCTGACGAAGTGAGTATTCACCCACAAATGCTTATGCTCCAATACGTCTGTTAGTTTATAAGGTGCCACAGGACTCTTTGTTGCTTTTTACCTGAAAGGGGGTTCCAAAGAGGATGGATCTAGACTGTTCTCAGTGGTAGCAGATGACAGAACAAGGAGTAATAGTCTCAAGTTGCAGTGGGGGAGGTTTAGGTTGGATATTAGGAAATACTTTTTCACTAGGAGGGTGGTGAAGCACTGGAATGGGTTATCCAGGGAGGTGGTGGAATCTCCTTCCTTAGAGGTTTTTAAGGTCAGGTTTGACAAAGCCCTGGCTGTGATGATTTAGTTGGGGATTGGTCCTGCTTTGAGCAGGGGGTTAGACTAGATGACCTCCTGAGGTCCCTTCCAACCCTGATATTCTATGATTCTAAGACCAGGCTACCAGAATCTGAACAAACACCCAAGTTGGGGGATTGATTTTGCCCTCACTTAAACTGGGTTTTCTGATGGTTACATGGGGGTAACTGAGAAAGGAAGCTGGCACTTGGTGTGCATCGAGATGCATACATTGCCTGGGGAAAGAGAAGAAAGAGAGCAATTCTGCACCAAGCAACTGTCCCTCGTTATTCACACCCGGTATATGCCAAAATTCTCTGGTGGAGAGAGTGGAAAAACTTAGGGCTAATAATATTAATTAAAATAAAAAATTGCCTGAGATTTTCAAAGGCATCTTAAGGAAGTTAGACATCAATGGAAGTTGTGCACCTAACTTCTTTAGGTGCCCTGGAAATTTCCACTCCTAGCTAGCAACTTGAATTCATAGTTTAAGGACAGAAGGAACCATTAGATTAACTAGTCTGACCTGCTGTATAACACAGGCCAGATAAGATAACTGGGAGAAACTTTCTTCCACTGTAGGACCCAGCTCAGGTTTGGTATGGAGTATCCTGAGGTCAAGGGAGGCATTTGCCCACTGCAAGTTTGCTTTTTCATTTGTTTGTTTTAGGTCTCCATGGCCTGCGACTGGTAGCTGCAACTTCACAGTCTGGTGCATGCTGGGGCATCAGAGCAGAACCAGTCAGCTGTGGAATATATGAAGATACATGTGGAATTAGCTGTATGATAATGCCCTGTGTCACTGTGCCATGTCGGGCATTCAGCACATAACCCTAGGCTTGTGTCTGTGTGTGTCCGGGGCTGCATGTGTTTGTTTATGGGGCTTTGCTGGGGCTAATACAACACAGTGTAGAAACATGAATGGAATTAAATCCAGTGCAGTTAAAAGGGAATAGGATCAGCAAATATATACAACTCATTTGGTTCTGTGAATAAGATCTTGAACGAGATCATAAAGTGACCATCCCTTTAGGAAATCTGTAGGGAATCAGAGGAGATACTTTTCTAACTGTCCACCAGATGTACCTCTAATAGACTCCGACTTTAAGGTCAGAAGGGACCATCATGGTCATCTAGTCTGACCTCCTGCACATTGCAAGCAACAGAATCTCACCCACCCACTCCTGTAATAGACCCCTAACCTTTCGCTGAGTTACTGAAGCCCTCAAATCATGATTTAAAGACTTCAAGTTACAGAGAATCCACCATTTACACAAGTTTAAACCTGCAAGTGACCGTTCCTCATGCTGCAGAGGAAGACGAAAAACCCACCAGGTCTCAGCCAATCTGATCTGGGGAAAATTCCTTCCTGACCCCAAATATGGCAATCAGTTAGACCCTGACCATGTCAGCAAGACCCATGAGGCAGATACCTGGGAAAGAATTCTCGGTAGTAACTTAGAGCCCTCCCCATCTAGTGTCCCATCACCAGCCATTGGAGATATTTGCTGCTAGCAGTCGCATATCAGTTACATGCTATTGTAGGCAGTCCCATCATACCATCCCCTTCATAAACTTATCAAGCTCAGTCTTGAAGCCGGTTAGGTTTTTTGCCCCTACTGTTCCCCTTGGAAGGCTATTCCAAAACTTCACTCCTCTGTTGGTTAGAAACCTTCATCTAATTTCAAGCTTAAATTTATTGTTGGCCAGTTTATATCCATTTGTTCTTGTGCCCACATTGGCCCTTAACTTAAATAACTCCTCTCCCTCCCAGGTATTTATCCCTATTAATGTATTTATCAAGAGCAATCATATCTCCCCTCCACCTTCTTTTGGTTAGATTAAACAAGACAAGCTCTTTGAGTCTCCTCTCATAAGGTGGGTTTTCCATTCCTAGGATCATCCTAGTAACTCTTCTCTGCACTTGTTCCAGTCTGAATTCATCTTTCTTAAACCTGGGAGACCAGAATTGCACACAGTACTCCAGATGAGGTCTCACAGGGCCCACATTTATTTCAGGAATCTCTTTGACCATCTACATCAGTGAATCCACAAAGTGATCATCTCTGCCTACCTGGCTCACATGGTTCGTAGATGTTATTTTCCAGCAAGTCAGCTACTTTGGCTGCACTGAACCTATCAGTCACACATGAAGAGCTGCTTGCTGTTGAGGAGCTGGTCCCCGGTTGTTCCAGCAAATTCTGCTGGTGCTTCCTTGCTGATTGCTCCCATTTGCCTGCATCAGCTTCAGTCTTGATCACCTTCGCAGGGACCTCAGTTTGGACTCCTTTCCTCTTCGCTGGTAAAGACAACGATGGGGCCTAAACAATGGAAACAGATCCTTGACAGGTTTCAGAGTAGCAGCCGTGTTAGTCTGTATCCGCAAAAAGAAGAACAGGAGTACTTGTGGCACCGTAGAGACGAATAAATTTATTAGAGCATAAGCTTTCGTGGACTACAGCCCACTTCTTCGGATGCATCCTTCGGATGTAGTCCACGAAAGCTTATGCTCTAATAAATTTGTTAGTCTCTACGGTGCCACAAGTACTCCTGTTCTTCTTTTTGCAGATCCTTGACAGCTCATCATTTTCTGCTTGGGAATATGTTTGAAAGGGTCTTTGGAGATGGCGCGGCTCTAGGTTACTTAATGTGGAGGCTAGACATATGTATTTTACACAATTTGGGATACATAATAGGAAAGGCCCTGACATACCATAACAATGGGTGATGGATGGATGGATAGACAGCAGTGGATGTTCTCAGTTCTTGGAGATGACCCCAGAAATGTGGAAAATGGGTGGCTCCTTCTGCCTCCATCCGCCAGTGGATGGAGAAGGGAGCAGCACCCAAGTCATAGTCAGTGCCAGTATCATTATTATTTTTCTCTTTGGGGAAAAAAATCCCAAGGTAATTCAGTACAAATAACTTTGTTAATTGAAACTGAAGTTGGCAATTTAAACCCTCGCATCAGGAAATTCTGACATAAGGAGAACTTACATCTGCTTACTCGCTCTGTCTCTGTTCTCAGCAAGTCACTTCATCCTCCCGGCACCCCAAATACATTTCCAATTCCCCCATCCCCTTAAATAGTTTGTGAGCCCATTAGTGACCCTCACTTTCTTCTGTGCTTCTGACAGGGTCCTGATGGCTTCAGAATAGCGGTCTATATACATAGGGAGGCCATGCATGTAAGAGATGTCTAGTAAACATGCTCATTTGGAGCCACCGTACCCATGTGCTTCCTTTATATTACATATGTTGAGTAAAGAGCCAAAGACACAACAAAATCCCCTTGCCAAGTATCAGTTAGGGAACCGTTCATATGCACCTGTACATCCCAAGCATTTGCTAACATTAGAATCTGGAATATTTACATGGCCTGTATTTTGATGCCTCAAGGCTCAATGTCTTTCCTACACCCTATCATATAAGGTGGCGGGGTTAGGGGTGGCATGGGAAGGGCAAGGAGGACAGTGAGGCCCTTCCTGCAGCCCTTTCTCATGTTGGTGAGTTCTTACTCACATCAGCAGTCCCATTGGTGATAATGCTACTGATCTCCTTAGTAAAGTTCTTTTGAGATCTACTGATGAAAAGTGCTAGATAAGTCTGACAGGGTGTATCAACCCCACACTGGCAAGGTGAGGGTTAACAATCTGCTTTGGGCCCAAGAGGCCACGCCCCCTCATCCTTTCTGGGCATGCTCCCAGTAGAGATAGTATCCCGAGGGGGGGGAGAGGAGGAGAGAGGGATAGCTCAGTGGTTTGAGTATTGGCCTGCTTAACCCAAGGTTGTGAGTTCAATCCTTGAGGGGGCCATTTAGGGATCTGGGGCAAAAATCTGTCTGGGGATTGGTCCTGCTTTGAGCAGGGGGTTGGACTAGATGACCTCCTGAGGTCCCTTCCAATCCTGATATTCTATGATTCAAAAGAGAGCAGCACAACGCAGTCTGGGCTCACTGAGGAGGAGAGCAGCTGTGTGCTGCAGTCTCCTCCCAGGAAGCCGCCAGGACTCCCAGCTGCTGGGGCGGAGCCGCCTAGTCAGTTGGCCATGGGAACCAAAGTGGATGACTTGCTATTACCAGTGGAGGAAGTGCCCCAGATGGACTAGTGTGATCACAAGAGATACCCCAGAGATGATGCTGGAGGAAATGAGATGAGGGCAGGAAGCAACCCAGGGTATGACCTTAGAGATATTGGGCCTGAGCTCTGTGATAGGCTACCTGGTTTTAAAGGGCCCCGGGTCAGAACGTGGTGGAGTAGAGTGGGCCCTGGTTCCCTTACCCTCCAGACTCTCACCACAGGGCGATAACATCATGAGGAAAAGAGGCCTCTTGAACTTTCACAACACGGCAATAACGCCACGAGGCGAAGCAGCCCCTTGGATTCTTATCAAGGCAATATCTCCGCAAGGCGAAGCGGCCCCTTGGGATCTCACCATGGGGCAATAATGCCACAAGACGAAGCAGCACCTAGAACCCCCACTATTGGGTGCTATATCCTGGAGCATCACCATTGGATGGTGCTGTCAGCCCGGTTCACCCAACCAACCTGAGAATAAGAGCTAAATATTTTATTGGCTTACGTGTCCACCAGTATGTATGTGCAATCGAACCATGAGGCAGAGCAAAGGGATGGAATTGAGGGAACAAAGGACCTTAGATTAAAATTGCTGTATTAAAAACAAGATGTGGCAAGAGGAGCATGTATATCAACCAACCCTCCATTCCAGCCAATGATCCTGGGAACTGAGCTTGAATTCCTGCCACAGGTGCAGGGAATGCTGCATGGGCTGATCCCCACCTCTGTCAGAACAAGCACAAAACTGTCTTACCTTGCTGGAATTATCTGGGGCAGCTTCTAGAAAGAACAAAAAAGAATGAGTTAAGTAACAGGCTGAACCACCATTGGCATGCATGGGAACAGTAGTTCTGGCTAATAACAAAACCTAGCTCTAATATAACAGTTTTCAGTAGTACATCTCAAAGAGCTTTGCAAAAGAAGTGTCATTCTCCCTGTTTTAAAGATGGGGAAACTGAGGCACAGAGTGGCGATGTGATTTGTTCAAGATCACCCAGCAGGCTGGGACTAAGGCCAGTAAAATAGAGCCCAGGTCTCTTGAATCCTAGTCCAGTGCTCTATCTACTAGGCAAAGCTGCCTCCCAAAATTGCTGGTAGGAGCCCCTGCAGAATGCAAGCAGAGAGCAACTAATATGCACAACCCATTCTCGGAAAGCTGCCAAGGGCAGGACTCAAATTCACGGTACACTGGAGCTACATGGGGTGAATGGCCATGGCATATCAGCTGCCATTATTCAAAAGCCCTAGCAACTGTCCTACATGCCTGAACATGTGCTGCTGCTCTGACTGAGTCAGCCGGCACCACTTAAACCACTTGCCTCACACAGCCGCTCCCTGGATTAAGCAGCCGTGGCACACTGGCAGAGCAGCCTACTCACTGCTCACAAGGCCCAACTAACACATTGCAGGATCGGGGCTGCACGCGGGACCTGGGAGGGGCAGGCAGAGAGAACACACATCCTCATGCACTCACACACGGAGGGAGACAGCAGGCGAGCATGTACTAGGGAACTCATGAGAAAGGAATAGGTGGGGCTAGGTGTAAGGGAAGGGGGAACTTCCCCATCAGGCAGTGAGGGCCCTGAGGGGAAGAAGCCATATGGCCCCTCTCTCAAGGCCACAAGAGGCTGCTGAGGCACACAAAGGAGGAGAGGAGGAGGTGCGGAGGGTAAAGGGGAATCCAAAAGTCCAGTGGCCAGAAGCTGATGGTGCATAAAGCCAGCCTAGAGATAAGGGGCAGATTTTAACAGGGAGGGTAACTGACCATTGAAAGAACTTACCAAAGGAGACAGTGGATTCTCACCCCATGAAGTCTTTACACTGAGACTGGATGGATGTCTGTCTAAAATATACACTCCAGCTCAACCATAAGCTTTGGGCTGGCTGCAGAACCCCGGGTGGGTTCTCTGGCCTGTGTTATACAGGCAGGTCGGACTAGATGACCATAATGGTCCCCCTGGCTTTAAAACCTATTGATGGATACAGAGACACACCTACAATTCAATCCAGCAAGACTTCACTGGCCTGCCAGGCTATACAAGGGTGACAGACAGACAGAGCCTCAGGAACCTGTCAGGGGTAGTTGCTGCATGCTATGCAGACACATAATGAGAAACAGTCCCGGTTTGAACAGCTTCCAGCCTGACTAGACAATCCACCAGGATGAGGCAGCCCATTGGGTTTGGGGGTTGACCTGCTGTGTCCATCTGTCACTCCTGCCCCAGGGGCTGGTGGCTGCATGTGCTAGGCCTTGGCTGCCACCTCTCTCCTAGGGTCAGGAACGTTTATTTCCCTCATGGCTTTTTGATGAGATGACTATTCTGATTCTTGCAGTAATCTAAGGAGAGGTCTTGCTCACGCTCCATTGTAACTCGGATACTGGCACAGAAGCTGATTCCAACAGAACACTGAGATGACGTCATTGTAGTACTAGTGTTATGCAGAGGCCCCTTGATGCTAGGTGCTCTACAAACACATGGTGAACGACCGTCTCTGCCCCAAAAGACTGACAAAGGCAGTGCTGTTATCCCCTCTGTACTGAGGAGGAACTAAGGCACAGAGAGATTAGGTGCAATGCCCAGGCTTGCCCAGAGAGAACTGAGCCCAGGTCACCTTAGTCTTCCTTATACACAAGGCCATCCTTTCTCCTTAGTGACATTAGCTTTTCAGGGACATAAGGGGAAAGGAAACATGCAGCGTCCAACTGGCAATTATCAAAGCACCAGGAAATCGAGAGGACCAGTAAGGGGAACATTAATGCTTCTTCTTTTTGGAAGCAGCTGTAGTCAGGCCCTGGCTTCTGCGCTTGTGTCACTTGCCTCTGCCATGATCCATCGATGTGCCGGTTCCTGTCCCAGCCTCCTCTCCTGCCTGTTTGCAGGAGTGAACAGGCTAGGGTTGGACAGGTGGTTTGGTGGAGGAGGTAGATGCCCGGGGAGGAGGGGAGATGGAGTGGCTGCTGGAGAGATGGGCAATGGGTGCTGCTGGGAGCAGGGAGACACTGCCCTCTGGGGTGTCAGGAAGGAACAGGTCCAGCAGGTCCGAGGGCAGTGATGGTACTGACAAGCCCATGGTCTCAGGGAGGGATAGGCTCCCTGGGCCGGGAGGGGCTGGAGGAGGCTGCTGCATGGCTTGCCACCAGCTAGTGGTCTCCTGCAGAAAGGGGATTAAGGCCGAGGTGAGGGTGTGGAGGGAGCGGGAGATGGACATGACCCCACGCAACATTGACAGCAGGTGCCTGTTTGTGCTTTGCTGTCCTTTCAGGATGCTGCTGCCTAACACCAGGAGGCGGTCTGCCTGGCTCACACTGGCCCTGGGCCAGGCCACTAAATCCCCATGCTTGGAGGCCAGCGGGCCCCGTATCCCCCCACGGACACTCAGGATTTCCACCTCAGCACTTGCGAGCTGCCTGGAGGCGTTCTCCTCCTCCCCATTCCTTCGTGCCTGGGCTGGTGGGAGTGATTGGTAGCACTACAGAGCCATCACCCCAGTTAGCTGGACAGACATCTCCTTCTCCATCCTCATGTGGGCAGGGCTCAGCCTGGAAGCTGGGGGGACACATGGGATCCTCATGGGAGAACAGCCCTTCACTGTCATTGGTAGGGAGGTGTCTCTGCTGGTGGGAAGCCTCTGGAGGATGCAGAGGCTCAAGGCTGAGTGTCACAGTGCTCTTGTCCTCTGACGGGGGGGGCCCGTTGGGGAGCAGAGATACCTGTGGGAGGGGGACATAGGAGGGAGAATCAGGAGCTGAAGGGCTGCCTGCTCCATGGGACCAGGGACCAATTCAACAGAGCAGATTGTAGGGTTCACGGGCATCTGCTCGCACAGGTAGTAGCACTGTGGACGGGGGAGGAGAGTAGATGGGGTGGAGATTCCTTCCTGGAAACCCCAGCCATGTGGGGCAGTCTCTTTCCAGTTGGCTACAGCAGGGGTCTTCTGAGGACCTCCTTGAAATGCCTGCCCCCAGCTCTGTGCCCCGGACCCCAAGAGGAAGGATGAACAGAGTTGCAGGCTATGCCAGCGGTGCCCAATCTCCCAATGCCCATTGTGGTGTCTCAAAGCATGCCCTCCAGCAAAGCCGCATTCTGGGTGGGGACATTGAGCCCCTGTGCCCCCAACCAGCTAGCCCACGACGGACCACGACACATGCCACATTTATTGCAGTGATGCTGCATGTCTGCCTTAGAGCTAGTGTCATCTGCTGCACAGCTATGCTGCTTCGTTTAGACTCCGAGGCCAGTGTCTAATCATCAGTGCTGCTGCTCATGGAGGTCGAGGCAGCAATGCGTGGCTCCCATGCAGAGTGTGAGACATAACAATGCATGTAATCTAGCCCAGTTGTTCCTTTGCACCAGGGTCCCCCACTGTGCTGTCTGCCTACATATGTCTCATCCCTACGTGCCTCCCTTCCTGCCCAACCGAGCGGGTAGGTCTCTCCCCCCCCAGTACACTCTTCTTTCATCATATGGTGAAGTGGCTATGTCCAGTAGCATCCCTGCTGCTGCCCATACCCCAGGTGGCTACTACTTCCTGGCCAGACTGCCCCTTTTTGAGCACTTGTGACTGCTGTTATCTTGACCAACACATTGGGATTGAACCAGGAACCGCCAGAGCTAAAAGCATGAGTTCACTAACTGGAGCTGTAACAGACATATCTCCTGTGCACTGTGCATAGATAGAGGCTTTGTCACACCCACCTACCAGTGGGTTAAACATACTCCCCTGGAGAGGGGCCAAGACCCATCCCTAGTGGGCAGTGCTCAGTGTGTATTTTCTGAAGCCCTTATACAGCCAAACTGACATCTTGAAAACTGGCATCACATTCAGTGCAGCCAAAGGAGAGCACTCATGCCTGGAGACTCTGGCCTTAGCCCTTATTTTTGCTTAGCAAGTCATTCCAGAACCAGCAGTATCTTTGCTATTCATCAGTACTCCCTGAAGAGTCTGGACAAACACATTTCAGATCACGGATTGTTCACCAATGTTTCACTTTGACTAGTCACTGTTCATGATTCTTGCTGTATGATTATTCACCTAACCCTTTTCACTCCCTGATTGAATAACTGAGTATAACAAGTAAGGAACTTCCCTCTTTCCAGCACTGTTTTTCAGACAACAATTCATTAGAGTGGAAGTTCAGGGCTGTCAAACACCCAGCTATTTTTCAGATGCTCACAGATAATGCGCCCTCACCAGCCAGCGAACGCAGCTTAACGTTTGGGTTAGAGGAAATATTGGCAAATCCTTTCTTTTACCATTCAGCCTACTCTAGTGAATGACCATGGTAAGCAGATAATGTTGATGGTGTGGAGAAACTGGGTGACCACTAGGGCTGTCAAGCGATTAAAAAAAATTAATCATGATTAATCGCATGATTAAAAAAATTAATCGCGATTAATCACGCTGATAAACAATAACAGAATACCATTTATTTAAATATTTTTGGATGTTTTCTACATTTTCAAATATATTGATTTCAATTACAACACAGAATATAAAGTATATAGTGCTCACTTTATATTTTAATTACAAATATTTGCACTGTAAAAAAACAAAAGAAATAGTATTTTTCAATTCCCCCATTACAAGTACTGTAGTGCAATCTCTTTATCATGAAAGTTGAACTTACAAATGTAGAATTATGTACACAAAAATAACTGCATTCAAAAACAAAGCTTTACAGCCTACAAGTCCACTCAGTCCTACTTCAGTCAATCACTCAGACAAACAAGTTAGGTTACAATTTGCAGGAGATAATGCTGTCCGCTTCTTGTTTATAACGTCACCTGAAAGTGAGAACAGGCGTTCACATGGCACTATTGTAGTTGGTGTCGCAAGATATTTACGTGCCAGATGCTCTAAAGATTCATATGTCCCTTCATGCTTCAACATCATGCTTCCAGAGGACACGTGTCCATGCTGATAATGGGTTCTGCTCAATCAATAACGATCCAAAGCAGAGTGGACCAACGCATCTTCATTTTCATCCTCTGAGACAGATGCCACCAGCAGAAGGATTTTTTTTTTTTTTTGGTGTTTCGGGTTCTGTAGTTTCCACATCTGAGTATTGCTCTTTAAGACTTCTGAAAGCATGCTCCACACCCTGTCCCTCTCAAATTTTGGATGGCACTTCAGATTCTTAAACCTTGGGTCGAGTGCTGTAGCTATTTTTAGAAATCTCACATTGTTACCTTCTTTGCGTTTTGTCAAATCTGCTGTGGAAGTGTTCTTAAAATGAACATGTGCTGGGTCATCATCTGAGATTGCTATAACATGAAATATATGGCAGAATGGGGGTAAAACAGAATAGGAGACATACAATTCTCCCCCAAGAAGTTCAGTCACAAATGTAATTAATACATTTTTTTAACGAGCATCATCAGCATGAAAGCATGACCTCTGGAATGGTGACCGAAGCATGAAGGGGCATATGAATGCTTAGCATATTTGGAACGTAAATACCTTGCAATGTCGGTTACAAAAGTGCCATGCAAATGCCTGTTTTCACTTTCAGGTGACATTGTAAATCAGAAGCATGCAGCAGTATCTCTCATACATGTATACAAACTTGTTTGTCTTAGCAATTCACTGAACAAGAAGTAGGACTGAGTGGACTTGTAGACTCTAAAGTTTTACATTGTTTTGCTTTTGAGTGCAGTTATGTAACAAATGAAAAATCTACATTTGTAATTTGCACTTTCACAATAAAGATATTGCATTACAGTACTTGTATGAGGTGAGTTGAAAAATACTATTTCTTTTATCATTTTTACAGTGAAAATATTTGTAATAAAAATAATATAAAGTGAGCACTGTATACTGTATTCTGTGTTGTAATAGAAAACAATATATTTGAAAATGTAGAAAAACATCCAAAAATATTTAATAAATTTCAATTGGTATTCTATTGTTTAACAGTGTAATTAGTCGCGATTAATTTTTTTGAGTTAATTGCGTGAGTTAACTGCAATTAATTGCCAGCCTTAGTGATCACTAATTCATAGGCCAGAAGAGACCATGATGATCATCTAGTCTGGTCACCTGCATAACACAGGCCAGGGCATTTCCCAGACAGGTTGTAGAATTGATGCTCATCTTCTATTTTGACGTCTGCCTGCCCGCCCGCCTACCTCCCTCCCTCTGAGGCAATATGCTCCATCCTCACTCTTCAAACTGACCCAACTTACAACACTAAAAGAGCAATTAAAAGCTCCATCATGCAGTCACACGTGACAGGGTCACCAGCCCCACTCCATCCCATGCTGGCGGTAGCCAGAGGTAACGATGGTACCATGTCCACAACCACCACCTCACAGACATGTGTCAGGACTGTGAAAGTGTCTTACCTCTCTCCCCAGTCACTCTTTCAAACAGAGCCTGGAGTCTGGCTTTACACTTGGCGAAGCCTCCAGCCTGGACACTAGCTCCCACGGCCAAGGGCTGCAGCTTCCTGAGCTCCTCCAGTGACCCCATGATGAAGGAGTGCAGGTCCATCACCTCCTGGTCCAACGCATAGAGATGCATCTTCTCCACCAGCTGCTTGCTGGCCCCCATCCTCTTGAGCACGGCTTCTGTCTGCTGCAGCTTCCCCTCCAGCTCCTCGTTCCCCAGGTGGTGCTGCCTCTCCACCATCTCCAGCAGCTCCTGCTCCTTCTCTCGGATCAGCTGCACCATCTGCTCAACTCTCTTTCGGATCAGCTCCTGGGTTTCATTCCTCACCTGGTCCAGGTGGTCAGCTTTGCTCTTCAGATTACAATAGGCATCTTGGAAGAGTTCCTCCTTCTTCTTCAGCTCTTCCCTCATGCTTCCCAGCTCCTGCTGCCTCTGCTGGATTTCCACCTTGATATCACAGTGCTTGCCTGTGTGCCGACTGTCCAGCAGGGCACAGATGCAGCATATCGGTTTTTGGCACTCTCTGCAATAGATGCTGTTGATGAAAGTACAATTTAGAGCAGTTATTTAAACGACTCTTACCCCATTCTGCTGGTGGCCTTATCAAACCCTTCCCAGAGCCAGTCCTCCTTCGTCAAAGGGAAGTATGGGAAAGTGGCCAAGGATATCGAATAGCAGAGCCATTACGCCCGGCAGTGAGTGACTTGGGATGTCTGGCTGTGCTGGGTTTCAACTGACTGTTCAGATAAAGTTCAGATCATTTCTTCACTCCTTATATTGCTCCCTGCTGGGGAGCTCAGAACATTCCCCAGGCAGAGCACCCCTTCTCTTCCCACAACCCACTCCCCCAGCAACATCCTTGACTAGGAGAGAGCCTGCCTGATTCCCAGCCACCTCTCCCTCCTACGACTGACTGAACAGCTCTGCGTTGACATTCTCATTCCTCTCTCCGACTTCCTCTTTGCCAATCTGCGTCTGCTTGCTAAAGAAAATGGACCAGATCCCAGCTGGGGTAAATCACTGCAGTTAAAGAGGCGAGGCCCATTGATACCAGCTGGCCCAATATGATTTGTCACCCAACAGTGACTGCCACAGGGTGGTGGGCCCCTTTAAATGATGTAGATCCAGTGCCCTGTGCTAGAACAGGTGCTCCCAGCTTGGCCAGTTAAGAGGGCAGGGCAGGGCAGCAGCTGGGGCTGTGAAGAGCCAGGCTGTCAAGAGGGAAGGTGGAGCAGGAGCAGGAGCAGAGCGAGTCCCCTGGAGGGGTGGCAGTGGAAACCTGCTGGGGAATGGGAGCCTCTGGGACGAGAGCGGTGAGAGGTGGTGCTCAGCTAAGAGCTGACAGAAGAATCCTGCAACAGGCCCTGAAGCAGGAAGGACTGACCAAGGCACGGGGCTGGGAGCTGGAGCCCAGGCTGGGCTGAGGAACTGTCTTGCCTACATATGAAAAAGAAAGCTGGTCCTGGAAAGAGACTTTGGGTGCAACTGCACGAAAAACAGATCAAGTTGTGAACATTACCTCAGCATCTGGTTTGCATGGGTTGGATTGGGACAGGACAAGTTACTGAGCTTCCTGGAACCAACAAGAAACTCCCTGGCAGATCCCACCTTGAGATCCCTCACCGCCTTGGCCTCATGGCTCTCTCGCTTTAGATACCTCTGGTGGGTCTCAAAGCACTTGACACAAAGGAACTCCTCGCAGTCAGAGCACCAGAACTCTCCCTCTTGCCCACAGTTGTCACAGACCAGGTCATTGCCTTTGACGATCTTCTGGTAGGTGCTCAGCTTGGCCTGCAGATTGGCAAAGAGCAGGTTGTCCTGGTCTGGGATCCCACTGGCTTGTGGGATGGGAGCGCGGCAGATGGGGCACTGGCCAACAGGCTTGTTCTCTTCCAGGCAGTTGGCGCACAAGGTGTGAAGGCATGACAGGAGCTTAGGATTTCTGGGTTCTTTCCGGCATCCCTGGCAGAGCAGGAACTGGAATTCTTCCTCCATCACCTTTGGAAAGGAGAGAGATTGAGGCCTGGGGTTACCAGTGCTGTATGGCTCTGTTTTGCAGCCCAGTGAGGGAGGCGACACATGCTATATGCAGGCAACTTGATGGGCCAGGTCCTGGACCCCATTGAGGGTGCTTTCCCACTGCTGCTCTGGTGGCACAGAGCAAGTCGCATACTCTTGGGGGTGTGAGGTGACCCTATGTCACCCCCATTCCAGCCTCAGCATAGGGGGCACGGCATGGAGGAGACAGAGGAAAAGTACCTTTTACTTTCTCAGCTGGGTATCATCCCAAGAAACCCCTCGCTCTCCTACATCTGTCTCTTCCCTCCCTTCTCTCTCTCACCTCACTTTTCACCCCCCAGGGTGTACATTACCCCCTCCCCATCAAGCTGTCTCTCTTCTGGCAGGGCTAAGAGGGAGAGCTGCTTGGTGACTCTGGGCTGACGCTCCCTCCCCCACTGTAGATGCATCTGCCCAGCCTTGTTCCATCTCTCTAAGGTACTTATTGCACCCCTGTTATCACAATTCCTCACAACCATTGAGGCACTCATACTTACAATGGTGAGGTGGGGGATCAGTTATGTCCATTGTACAGATGGGAAACTGTGGCACAGATGCTCAAATAGGCTCTGAACTCCCCCTAGAGTCAATGGGAGTTAGGCACCTTCCTGCCTTTGAGGATCTGGGCCTGAGTCATAGAATATCAGGGTTGGAAGGGACCTCAGGAGGTCATCTAGTCTAACCCCCTGCTCAAAGCAGGACCAATCCTAGGGTGACCAGACGTCCCGATTTTATCGGGACTGTCCAGATATTTGCTTGTTTGTCCCGCAAACATCGGTCGGGACAGTGGACAAACAAGCAATTTTGCCCTCCGCTCCAGCACACAGGCGGAGCCCGGAGGGGCTCTCGCCCCCATCTCGCCCCGCCCCGCCCCGACTCTGCCCCCCACCCCCTCCTTTGCCCATTGGATCCCTCCCCAAATCCCCGCCCTGGCCCCGCCTCATCCCCAAGCATGCGGCATTCCTCCTCCCTCCCAGGCTTGCTGATCAGCTGTATGGCAGCACAAGCCTGGAGGGAGGGAGTGGCCTTCGTGGAGCTGGTGAGTGCGAGCTCCGGCACCAGGCGGGCAAGGGGTGCAAGGGGGCTGCTCCCCCAGGAGGAAGTTGGGGGGGCTCAGCTCAGGACCTGTGTGGAGGCGCCAGCTGCTTTGCACTCAAGTTGGGCTCCCAAAGGGCAGGGGCAGGAGCCTGGCAAAGGCCTTGACTCCCATGGGGGCGGGCTGCAGCGCTGCGGGAGAGGAGCTGCCGCGAGCGACCAGCTTCTTGTCTCTGCCGGGCCCGCCCTAGGAGCTGGCTCCAGCCTGCCCGGAGCATGGCGTGCGGAGCCCGAGCCCAGGATGGAGGAAGAGGGGCTGAACCACGGTGCGCAGGCCCAGGTGACACGTCTGACCCTGCTCCCGCATCCCCCAGCGCAGAGCAGCGCCCTGCCGGGCAGCTCGGAGCCCAGGAACAAGGGGATGGGGGAGCGAGATGGGGCTGTGCCATTGGCGGCGGCGGGGTTTTTTGGTTTTTTTTTCCTTTTGCTCCGCCCCCACGTCCCGATATTTCATCTTTGTCATCTGGTCACCCTAACCAATCCCCAACTAAATCATCCCAGCCAGGGCTTAGTCAAGCAATTTGCCAAGGTCCCATGGGGAACCTGTGGTGGGCACCAGGAATAGAACCCAAGTCTCCTGATACATAGGCTAGCACTCAAACCACTGGGCCACCCTTCCTCTCCACAAGGGCATGCTGAAGAAGCAGCCCACAAAAGTCCTGGTCGGAGCTGGGTATCTGGCAGGCACCCCCAGCTGCAAGCAAGAGACTCCACAGAGCTGTGAGACCCTCCCCACTTCCAGGTTGTCTCTCACTTCCCCTGCCCCCTTTGATGCCCTATTCCTCCTTTGCGCAGCCAGTTCCCCTGCTGCATGGTCACTATTGTCATGCTAACCTCCCATGTGTCCTGGACACAGTACTACCTGCAGTGGGGAGGCGGGGTCCTCAGGCATCTCCCCGCCTCCTACACATCTTGCTGCTCCTCGTTTTCCTTTTGCATGTAGCAGATGTCACTAAACATCCCAGCCAGTCCCTCAGGAAGATCCGACCATCGCAATAAGCTCACCTGGGTCTGCAGGCTGCCTGGGCTGCCCTGGGACAAGAGAGCCATAGTCCACGAGGCCCTGCCTCTATCAGAACTGTACCTGCGGGATCTGAGCACTCCTTTGCTGAGTAATTGCTTCAGCAGGTTCCGGCTGGTAAGTTTCGATTTCTGAGAAGGGAAAATAACCCCTCTTCCTGTTTCTGGCCTGTAGTGAGTCCCTTTCCCTGTGCAGGCGCCTCCTGCCCTGCCCTCTGGTGATCATTCTGAGAACACCCAGCCCTCCCAGAGACAGAGCTTCTCAGAGAGATAATGAGCCTGAGGCCACGCATGTTGGGTCTGGATCCAGGCCTGAGCTTTCCAAAGCTCCAGGCTGCATAGGTCAGCATTTGGGGGTTGAGCCTCTCAGAAAAGACTTTAATTTACAGTTAAGAGGCCTAATTCACTGCCCCATTTCTGCTCCAGGTCCCCATTGGCAGAGAGGGGAGGTGCCGCTGGGCAAGCTGCCTGCAGCACTCACTCCATGCATGGTTGCGAGTGGGCGGACAGCTGCTAATGTGGACCGATTCTAGGGTTACCATATATCCGTATTTTCCGGGACATGTCCGGCTTTTTAGTTGTTAATCGTCTTCCGGGAGGATTTTTTAAATATATAAAAACGTCCGGAAAATACGGACATATGATAACCCTACCCACTGCCCCTCTCTCCTCTTGGGGTGTCAGCTCGCTGCAGCCTGCGGATTGCAACTCCTCCTCCCCCCAGTGCTGCTGCAGAGCGGTGGCGTCTCAGCAGCCAACTGGGGATGCGGGGGGGACGGGACCCGCGGCCGCTTCTCCCTCCTCCAAGCATCCCCCGTGGCTCTGGCAGAGCCTCAGTCTCCCGCCTCTGCCCCTGCCGTGCAAGGAGCCCCTCCGCCAGTGGTCCATGCAGCCGGGGCTGCCTCCCCACCGTGGAGCGCAGGGGAAAGTTTCTCGACGTGCAGCAGCGGCTCTCGGGAGCCCGAGCTCCCTCCCCCGGGAAGGGCCCGCGCTGCAGCGCCTCCCGCAGCCTCGCCTGGTCTGGATGGGAGGGGGGTGGAGGCCCCCCTGAGCCTGGGGGCAAGGCTCGGGCCACGCACGCAGTACTTCTCTGCTCCAGCCCGGCCAGAGAGGGAGCCCGCGGCTGGGATGCAGCCTCGCAGGTGGGAGCGCGTTTGGGCTGGGATGCCCAGCTCAGGCTCGGGGGCAGGCCCAGGGCCCGAAGCAACTTCCCGCCCCCCGGCTCTGGCTGCTGCTGCGCGGGGGAAGCACCCAGCCGGGGGCACACGGGCTGGAGAGCAGCAGGAGCCGGGAAACTTGGGGAGGAGGCGGCTGTTTGGGGTGGCTGGGAGGAAGGGGGTAGGAGGGGGAATGTGACGTGCTCAGGGGAGGAGGCAGAGCCGGGGCGGGGATTTGGGGAAGGGGTCCAATGGGGAAGGGAGGGGGCGGAGTTGGGGCGGGGACTTTGGGGAAGAGGTTGGAATGGGCAGGGGTGGCTCCAGGCACCAGCGCAGCAAGTGCGTGCCTGGGGTGGCAAGCCACGGGGGACGGCCTGCCGGTCGCTGTGAGATCCACCGGTCCCGCGGTTTCGGCAGCAATTCGGCGGCGGGTACGCCGAAGCCGCAGGACCGGCAGATCACCCGCAGAAACGCCGCCTAATCCGCGTGACCGCAGACCGCCCACAGGCATGCTGCCAAAGGTCACCTGACTGCATTGCTTGGGGCGGCAAAAAACATAGAGCCGCCCCTGGGAATGGGGGTGGGGAAGGGGTGGAGTTGGGGCAGGGGTGGGGGCTGTGGAGTGTCCTCTTTTTTCAGTGTTCAAATATGGTAACCCTACTGATTCCACTACACCTGATTGCAGCACCCCACTGCAGCAGCCCCCAAGGGGCCAGTGTACCAGATGAGGATGGCAGTAGTGTTCCAGTCACACCCCAACATGTCTTCTCTGTGGGCGGGGCGGGAGGGAGGGGCTTGAAGGGGGTGGGATAGAACAAGCTAAGCCCCTGTGTGCGGTTGGAATGATACAAAGGGGCTGATGTGTTTTCCATGGCACTGTTTATTTCTGTGGCATCTTTTCTGCTTCATCTTTTGTGATTCATAAGCACCATACAAGAGATGACTTAAGATGCAAACATACGTCATCATTTCATGGCTGCTACCAGGGTCACTGGAGATGTATGACAAGGGGCAGGCGCTGAGGCCCACCCACTGACTGGGATTCAATCGTAGTGTAACATGCATGGAATTCACCACACAATAACAGCTGTGCTGGGTGCCTAATGCTGCTATGGGTGCCAATGAAATCCTCACCTCCCCTTAGCACATGGCTCAGGA